ATTGGCTCAGCCCGCTTCCTGGCACGCCTCCCTTCTCCCCCGAGCGTCCTCACGCACGCTCGCAGGCGTCTCTCTTCCCCTTAACAACAACTGCCCCAATACTATTGGTGAGTTCTGACCCCGCCCCCTTCCACTTTCTCCGCGCCGATAGGCTGGCCTTCGTGTCATTCACCTCCCGTAGGGGTTTATGATTTTCTGAAGCGTCCGGGGCCCGCGATTGGCGGGTGAGGAAACCTTTGGTTGGGAACAGTTGCTCTGCGCCCCGCAGTGCGGACCCCTCAGGGCTGACTTGGGGGGGCTTCCTAGCGCAGTGTCCAGGCCAGAATTACTGGTATAGTAACCTGGAGATAAGGCCTTCGCCTCTGGAAAAAGCTCAGGAGTCGGTGCTTCTGAATTCAGGTTTTTGCATTCTTTTTTTTTTTTTATGAAATGGAAAAATGACTGACAGTTTGAGGAGCAAACAGGACGACGCAGGTTCCTAGCCCTCAGGCAAGCAGCCATATCTCCTCGGCGATAGAGAGGCCTCGAGATTTTTCTCCTAAACAGCCAGGCCGTCGTCCCTCCGGGTCCCGTCTGACTGGAGATGCCGGAACCTGAGGGTGCGCGCGCTTCCGGTGGCCCATTCAGGGGAGCCCGCCAGCTGGTGTGTCCTGGGCCCCCCATCGTCCTGCTGGGCCCGAGGCCGCCCCGGAGAGTCCAGGGCGGTATTTGTTACCTGGGCGGTGGAGGGCCTCAATGATCGCGGTCTGGTCTGCCCCAGAGTTCGTCTCCTTTAAGCATATCTCCCCTTTTTTCATCAGTTCTTGGACCTGGAAGTGCCTCTAGGCCAGCGGTTCTCAACCTGTGGGTCGTGACCCCTTTGGCGGTCGAACGACCCTTTCACAGGGGTCGCCTAAGACCATCCTGCCTATCAGATATTTACATGACGATTCATCACAGTAGCAACATTACAGTTATGAAGTAGCCACGAAAATCATTTTATGGTTGGGGGTCACTACAACATGAGGAACTGTATTTAAAGGGCCAGAAGGTTGAGAACCACTGCTCTAGGCAAACCACTGGAATAACTGAAAACCTAAACTTTCCTCTGAATTCAATGGGAAAGGAAAAAGAGGGGGTTCTCTCTCTCTCTCTCTCTCTCTCTCTCTCTCTCATGATGAGTTAGCATTTTCAGAAATCTTGCTCCTTCGGGCAAGGGGCCTGGAGAAAAGGAAAGGCACCCCAGCTTTTGACAGATTTGGGGGGGCGGGGTCTTGAGGCTAGGGGCGTGGCTTCTTCGGTTCTCCCCAGACCCTAGACCTGGGTGAAAATCGGAGGAGGTGGGATGCTCCCGGGGCCCAGGAACTAGTTCTGGCCTCTTCTTTTTATTTATTTACTTAATTGATGTCAGAGAGGAAGGGAGAGAGAGAAACATCCATGATGAGAGAGAATCATGGATCGGCTGCCTCCTGCACGCTCCCTACTGGGGACCGAGGCCACAACCCCGGCAGGTGCCCTTGACGGGGAATCGAACCTGGGACCCATCAGTCCGCAGGCCGACGCTCTGTCCACTGAGCCACAGCAGCCGGGGCCTGACCCCTTCTTTTTATTTATTTATCATTTTTTATTTTATTATTATTATTTTTGGCCCCTTCTTTTTAAAAGGACACCGCTGTTCATTGACTCGGCTCCATAGGGCGCCAGCTGCTCAGGGCAGAGCGAGGACTGGGACCCACCGCTCCTGCCATGGATCTGAGGTTCCTTCTGTGTCCCCTGGCCACGCTCCTTAGCAATATAACGGGTGCCCTCCGTGGGCGCACAAAAGGATGCTGCTGTCGCTGAAATGGAACTTTCTCCATTTAATGTCCAAGAATCGTTCCCCGCTGACACCCTAGGGACCAGGCAGACCCAGCCAAGAGGCTGTTCTCTGCAACAGCCCCACCCGAGCCCTTCTTGCCTGTTCTTCCCGGTGTGCGCTCGCTGTGCTATTCTTCACGCCC